TCTGCAGTGATCAGGTTTGTACTCAACATGAGCAATGAAATTTTGGTAAGAAAAGCTAAATATACATCCCCTATATGAGTGTGTGTATATATGTATATATATGCATGTATATGTAATATATGTATCCCCCTCCAGGTAAACAATTCTTGCCTCAGCTGTAAGGGTAATGGCAATTATATACTCTCAGGTTCACTGGAGAAAATACTGAAGTTTCTTCTCTTTTTTAAGTGTTGGGTTGCCAACTGACATTATACTATTACTGTTCTGTGAACTCATGTAACATAGCCATGGCAAAGAAGAGGAACAAAAATTGCATGGGGACTGTTACTTGACTTTAACAAGTATTTCATCTTCTTCCTTAGAGCACAATTTCTAAGTCATAGACTTTTCTGCAGGGACAAGTCAGATATCAAAGTCCTGGCTCCAGAGGCCTGTTGTGACTAGTCTTATTTCTCCAGAGACAGAACCTGTATCCCTCTCTCAGCCCTTTGTCTCACATGGAATAAATTTTGTCTTTTCTGCCTTTTTCCTTCATAACTTGGTGGGAAGAGAAGTAAGAAATAGTGTCTAGGGAGTGAGAGATTTTTATCCATTCACACTCATGCATTTTCACATGCCATTCCCCCTAATGACAAAAAAGCCAACAGCCCCCCAACTAAAGCAGCAGAAGTAAAACAGTGGGAAGGATGAAGGTCCTTACATGATGAGTGCAACCTTTAAACAAAAAAGTGGCAGCATCCCACACTTTAAATGCATCTTAATTCTTATGTACTTCTTGTGTCCTATAAAAGCTAAAATAAATATGTATGGACTGATTGAGGATCTTTTACCCTTCTTTTTCCCTGTATACTTCTCCAAAATGTTGCAGTTATTAAAACTAATGCAGAAGGTTGCCACAGATCTTTTGCCTCAGGTAAGCTGGACAAAAATGCAGCATCTGATACTCTGATGTGGAATGGAGAAATAAATATTAACCTAACCAAGTGATTTCAGTGGTTTATTTTGGTTTTTTTTTTTTAAAGTGTTGAATTTCTACTGACCCACATTCTGTGTATTTCTTGTACTCAGTGATTTTTGAGGTTGCTTAGATTTTCATTTGCATTAGATATTTTGTGTCCAAAGGTCAAATGAGTATTGCTTTTGAATCAGATGCCTACTGGCTGCATTTCTAATACTTAATCTTTTCACACTGAGAAAAAGAAAAAAGTGGGAGGCAGTTCAAGCTATCCCAAATAAACAGACAGAAGTAAAGCAACAATTACTTTTCCTGTGTGGACTGCTCTTTCTCATTTCTCCTCAAGAGATAACACTCACTGACATAATGTCAGATAACCATGTTCAGTGTTTCACAGACTTGCCATTTAAAGATTCATTTCCACTCCACTTATTTTCTTTTTATCAGCTCCTCTTTTGGTGCATTTCATCTGTGAAAATTTTCATGTAGACTCCCAGGACAGGTATTTGGGAGAGAGGGAAGCAAAAGGGTTCAGCTTGACTTAAAACACTTCTAGAAATTATAGAGAGAGTAAGATTGGACAGAAAAATGAGAAGCTCTCATGAGAATAGTTGTTTGCATAAAATTCTGAACTCTTGCTAAAGCTTCAGTGAAGTTCCTGGGGAAGATGGATATATAAAGCCTCAGGTTAACTTCAGTCATTACCAAGCATTTTCATCTGCTGAAGAATTCCAAACATATTAAAGGTTGTCAATCCAAATCTTTAGACTAAAATAAATAAATAAAACCCAACCAACCACCCACCCAAATAAATAAATAAATAAGTAAATAAATAAGGAGCAACTTCAAAGGCTGTCAGTAGGCAAGTTATAGATCTGATTCAGCTTTTAACCCCTGGAAGTATAAGCACACTTTATCTGCTAAAGATATGCAATGTCTGTACGCTGCAATATTACATTTTAATAATCTGCAGCACAAGGCAATAATAAAAAAGGAGAATATGATATAATTGTGTACTATTTTGATGAGAAGCTGTGGGGAACATAGTCTTTCTATGCAATTATAGAAAATACTAATAACAAATCCTTGAGGACTTTGTTGACAATTAAGTTTCCTATTTTTAGCTTCTATTTTTAGGATTCCTTTTTTTCCCCCCCCTCTCCGGAATATATTTGAAGTGTCGTTTAGCTTAGAATTGTAAACAAGGCATTTGAGAAGTTGGACAGAACTTAGAAACAATCTGTAAAGCATCCTTTTAGGATGGTAAAACCAGCAGAAGAGAGCCTGATGGGAGTAAGGGCCCTGCATTACGTACAGCTATGAGGTTTACTGCGTCCCATGGATCCTGCTGCAAGGCACACTACAGTAGAGCATCAGGTAACTTTTCTAGAAGAGAGGTTTGAGTGAGTTACTATAGCAATGGCAGGTTTACAGAGGCAGAGGAAGAAAGCAAACCAATGGAAAAAAGGAACTGGCTGCAGGAAGTCTCTGACAATCTTCTCTAGAAAACTCCATAGCATAAATTAGCCTGAAATGAAACACAAGGTCTCACTCCTTCGAGAGTTTACTGAAAGTATGTTCTGAGGCCTCAATAACATTTCATCTCAACCTGGTTTCATCTCATTTATTTTGGTGTATCAAAGAAATAAACTGAGTTGTGTCAAATAAACCTGCTGAACTTAAAGGAAACATGAGTACATAATTTGGAAGTAACTGTATGAAATGCTGCTGATGACTCACTAAGGACCACTTTTATCCCTGTGAGACATTGGTCATTGGGTAAAAGATGGAAAAGGATCAGGAAATAGCTGTCTGCTCCAACAATATTTTAATCCACTTAGAAAAAATCTTCCTTGGAAAGGCCTTTTTTTCATTTCTCCAGTGGTGACTCATCTAATCTCATCTCTGTATATTGCTAAACTCCACAGGGATCACCTTTACTTCCCAACTTTACCCTGGCCAGAGATTCAGTCAGACAAAAGATCCTTAATGTCTTAAGTTCAGCTCACTTCTCTAAAATGCATTTCCCCTCTCTTTCACAAAATGAAATAAGCTTTCTTTTTTTTTTAGAAATGCTTTCTTTTTTCCCCTTCTTGTTTTCTACTTTTATTTTTTTTTTTCTGGGGAGGCAGGATGCTGGTATCAAATGACTCTTTTATTGTAAATCAAAATTTCTTTGTGTGGAGAAAGTTGAGTTTCTGGGAAGAATATATTTATTTTTTCCGGTCTAGAAAGGATTCTGAAATTTTACTTTTAAAACTCATATATCAAAAATCTATGTTTATTCCTCCACATTATATACATGCTTGTTCTCTCTAACATTAATTTATTCAAAAAACTCTGCACTTGAAAGAGTTAACAAAAATTCTAATTACAGGATAAGAAAGAAAGGTCAGACTCCACTTACATCATTCTGAAGGGTTTTTATTACACACTGCTATAAAACATATTTCTTTTTTTTCAGTTGCCATCTTCACAGGGTAACCTGCATACCAATAGGATCTCCAAAATGCCATGAAGCAAAAGATATTTATCTGCTAAATTCTATGTGCAGTAACCTTACAAATGCCAGAGAAAGAAAGATTGCCCTCTGCACAGTAACAGTTGTGTAGATGTCTTCTTTATGCTAACAATGACAAGGCTCTCTAGGTTTGTACTGTACTCCAAAATCAGAATGCATTTTTGGTTCAAAAAGCAGACTGTATATCAAAGAGAAAAAGGTGCACATTTTAGGCACTGAAATACCTAATGTAGTGAGCAAATACTCTCCTGAAGCATTTTTAGTAAAAATATCTAATCCAGAAAAGTAAAATGAAAATGTATGACTCAAATGTTCTTGAAGAAATTAGACAGGATATGTTTGGGAATATCTCTCTCTGTCCTGGCTGGTTAACTAAATTTTCATTTTGAACTCTGAAGCCTCACAGAACTGTTATTTGATTAACTTGACTATGTTAGATAGCAAGTTATCCAAAAGCAGGGTGGCTCCAAATCTAATTGCTGTCATTTTTTAAATCCAGCTGTGCAAAACAACAAGCAAGAACTTTACTGTGGGACAAGTACAAGTCACAAAAATTCTAATTTTTGTAATATATCAGTCTTCAAATCCATTACTTGTGATTTAACACACCTGAAAGTTGTTTACACAGTTATTTATATAACTATTTTCAGTCCTAAATTCTGACAATGTATTCAAAAAATATACATTAATAAATGCAAGATTTACTGCTTGCTTTCATAAAACCAGTGTGTGCTGTCAGATGTATTAGTTCAATATTTCAAGAGATGTATCCTCAAAATTAGAATGTAACTAATGACATAGTGACTGGCTTTCCTTTCCTTAAGGAGTTTTTCAGGAATCATATTCAAATAGTTGTTGCAGACTTGCACTTTGTTTGCAAAGCAAGCACTGCCTACCCAACCTTTCTAAACAATAAATATTAACACAGAATAGTGAGGGCTCCATTTCATCACTTCTGCTGGTAATTCTACTAACTATATGTTTATCTTGTGGTCTAAATTTATGACAGGCCCATTTGCAGTGAGGCCTGGAGTTTCCTTGTTTACAACACTGCAAAGTAAAAGGTGACCTTTTTATTTTTGTTTAAAACCTTTCAACAGTTTGTTCTGCCCCAGAGATAGCACCTTAATGAGGTTTCAGGCCAGAGAGCTCTCTTGTTTTATTTTGTGGCGGTACAGCACACTGCATTTACTTTCATAGACATTAGAAAACATTTTTAAAACAGAACACAAACTTGGCTGCAGATTACATTTGTAGATTAGAAAGCTACTGCACTGAGATCCTACCTGCCATTATGCAAAGGAAAAGAGAACCAGGGGGTAGAGGATACATAGCTGGCTAAATAAACAGTAAATGAGCTGTTTAAACAGTTGTATCTATACACACAAGTAATAAAAGCATCAGGCACCTGGTGCAAATCTATTAGGACCTAATTCTGACAACAATATACATCATTATAGTGGGATCTGATAAAGAGCAAACACTGGAGGCATTACATGTCTTTAGAAGAATCAGACTTCCTACCTTAGCAAGAGTGATAGAAGGTAAGTCCCCCTTTAAAGAAAGTTGTAAGTAAAGCCAGGCAGCAGTTGCAGTGAATTGAGTCCTTTCAGTCACTGTATACATGCAGTAGTTCTGCAATAAGGGAAAAATATAATGGGAGGAGCAGCTGTGAACGAGTGACCTCCTGAAGCTGAGTTCTCTTTGTGAATCGAGCACTGGGAGCCAGTGCCTCTGATTTGCATGGATTATCTCCACTTGAACAGATACATTTAAATCAACTGGCACAGGGGCACAGGGATAAAAAAGGAAAAAAAAAAAAAAAAAAAAAAAAAAAAAAGAAAAGAAAGAAAGGGAGGAAAAGAGAAAGGGAAGAGTGAGCGGGTGAGTGGAGGAGCGGAGGGCGAGCGGAGCGCTCGGCTGGGCGCGCTGACTCGGCAGCGCTGCGGCTCGGAAGAGCCACAGCTCCCTCTTCATGTGGCAGCCGAAAGAAGAGCAAAGCTGGCTTCATGCTCGAGTTTAACACACGCTCCCCCACCCCCGCCCCTGCTCCCCCCAGCTTACCATGGTCCATTTGATCAGATTTCTACAAACACTCAATAACTCAGCCTGACGTGCACCCAGGGTTTTGGGCTGCGAGCCTCAAATGATTATAAATCTGGTAAACCCTGCTAAACGATTTTAAACACAGGAATATTTTGAACATAGTAACTTGTACAAGTGGAGATGGGTTGTTTCTAAGTGGGCCATGACAGATTTATTGTTTGTGAGTGTACAGGTGCCTTTAGAGCAGTTAAAGGGTGGCAGCACTCGAAGCACGCCGTGCGGGAAGATCCCTAACAGGATGATGGTGTGTGTTATCTAAAAATCTATCAAGACAAAAGAGAGACAAAAAATTTGCATTCAACCACTTCAGAATTTCTCCCTTATTACCATAAATACCACAAACATTACCTGTTGCACACTCCTGATTTGATTTAAATGCAGTACTTAAGCTGATTAGAGAAATACGAGAGTATGTTCAACCCTCTTGAACCTGCATCCAATCCAAGAGGATCCTGAAATAAACTTTGTTTCTTTTGTTCAGAATATGTAAAGTAAGTTCTTTGTACACAATGGTGTAGAATTTTGTGAACATCTTCATGGATTCATTCTGCTCAAATTAGACCAAAGGTTACGAAAATATAGCAGAATGGCTGGTCATGTGTTCTTTCATGAACATTTGAAAATGGGAATGGATGCAATTGCATTTTTAGAGAATTATTCATTGGTGAGATTTGGTGGGACAAAATGGCCTGTATTAGCAGTCAAAAGACTCAAATGTTGCCTTTTAAGGTGTGTGTCTCACTGTAAAATACCGGTTGTTCAGAGATAAATAGAATGAAACTGCATATAAAGACAGCCACGACCAAAGTCTGTCTCTAGCTGATTTACAAATCAAGCTGAGTCCAACATGAGAAAGTTGGGTTTCAGATTTCTGGGGCTGCCAACATTTATTTGTAACACAGAATCCAGAATGGTGCCTTTATCTGAACAGAATATAGGGTAAGTACTATATTTAACTGAATGAGAAACTGTTTCTTTTGTGTAAAATTTTGCTACAGATAAATGATCCCATAGACATTGGAAAAAGTGATGGAGGATATATTTGGGTTTTCTAAGACATGCTACATGACACAGTTTTTGATGTATCATTTAAAGTGCTTCGTTTGAGATATGCTCTTTGTTCACTGAAGGTCTGGGAGTTTGATTATTTTTATTATGAGAGGGGAAGGATCCTTCAGCTAGACTCTGTCTCTTTGAATACTTACTCAGATAGTATTTAACCTGACTGAAATATCATCCTTGCCTGTGCACTGTCCAGAACTTCTCAACTATGTTCTCTAGTAATATCTAACTTTTAAGTTTTATTTCTTATTTTCTCAATTGTGACCACTCCAACCTCTAGTGATCACGCACCAGGAAATAACATATGAATTTGACTCCAGCAGGGCACTCAGAAGTCTAGTCTCAATATCAGACCTGTATATGATAGCTGTGTAAAGCAGCCTCCTGGTTGATAGATGGCTTTGAAAAAGATGGACTGTGAACCAAATTTGCTCTTATTACTCCGTACCCTGCAATACACTCCTCAGTGCTGCAGTATCCAAGCTGATAATGGCACAGCTATTCAGTCCCACCAACCTGTATGTCACCAGCAACAGGGAATCCTGGAAAAAGAAAGAAATAATCCAGCAGAGAGAGGGATCTCTGCCTTAAGGGCACAGGTAAGAGGAAATGCCTTTGTAAGGAGTCGAGACAGCCGTGGAAGGTACAAGAAAAAATCCAGGGACAATGTGCACTGGATTCAGAAACTTTAGTGTGTGTCTTATTCTCTGGAAAGATACATATGCCTGCAATGCCATCTGCTAAAGTTCATCAAAAGAAGACTTAGAGATGTGCTTGGAGGTAATGCTGAATGAAGATGGGGATTTGAGGAAATTGTGTAAGAAAGAGCAAACTGAATGGGGAACTGGAGAATTATGGGCACTTGTTGAGCGAGAGGTCATATAAGAGAAATCTCAGGGGAGACTGGTGAGTCAGGAAAGTCTGTAAAAATATAACAAGTGGAGCAATCTGGGAAACAGAGGAAAGCAAAATAATATGCTTGTCGTCTGGGAGACTCAAAAACTACAACAGAAAAAAACAAAACAGAAGGTAGAAAGGAAATGGAAAAGTTAACTCCAGAAAAAAAACTGTAGAATTCAAAAAAGGAGTGATAATTGTAGTGAAGTTAGAGAGAAAATAAGAATGAAAGTAAGGATCATCTGTTAATAGAAGGCAAAATGGACTAAGAAAAAATAGTGGCTGCTTGAACAAGGAGCCTGTGTTAATCAGAAACAAATAAACTGTCACTAAATCAATTCCACAGAGCAGGATGTGAGGTAATTTCTCAATACGGAAGATGTGGGTGGAAAAGGAAAAATGTATTCTGCTGGGAATAGGGAAGGATCTTTTTTTCTAATTTAATTTTCTTCAATGGGAAATGATGCTAAGAAATTCCCACTGGAATAAATCAAAGATGATTAGACTAAATGATTTCATTTTAGGTAGGGGAAAAATGCCTAAAAAGGGAAGACTCGTGGGAATGGTAGCTGGCTGAATATCCATAGAAAAAATTGGAACTAAGATCCACATTATTTAAAAAAAAAACCCTTTAAAAATACACGGAAACCTTGGTAGAGCTTTGTGTCTTCTTGCTCTACACAACAAGAAACAAATCTGCTCAATGAAAATTGATCTATGGTTGAGGAAATAGTGGTGGATGATCAGGAAAGAGAAGGTAAAGTTACATAGTGGGACCAAGGCACAGAAGTGCTCCAGTTGCTCAGGAAAGATCTGAAGAAAAATAAGTCAACTTGTGTAACTGTGTTCTAATAATCTGATAGATTAGGAAGGAAAAAGAAAGTATGGCATGCATCAGACAAGAACACATTGGGGCCAAACAAAAGCAAATATTTTCCAAGCAGTCATCAGCCAGTAAGAGATGAGACTACCACTCTCTTTCTTCTGATAAGCAATACAGATACTACCAGAGAACTGGTCCAAAACCAGATCATGAGTGAAGCTCATTTAAATGAAATGGAACACCCAAGAAAAATAAGGCTTTATGGCTCAAAGGGCAAATTTCGTTAGCCTAAAAGATCTTATTGGTAAAATTAGACCAGATTACTCAAGAGCTTGAATATGGAAGACTCTTGGAATTCCTTTAGATTAAAGAAGCTAAAGATATATGGAATGTGTAGCAGATGGATAGGAGACAATGCATGGAATAGTGGCCAAGCTATTCCATGAAATGGAAGAACTCCTTTCTTTTATAAGAGACATGCAATTACAGGATGAAAGAATGATGATGATGGATCAACAGACAGATGTGTATTAGAGGTCAAAATACAAAGTAAAGTGAAAATTGTCAGCAGCCAGACTGATTTGCAGTTTGGAAGGGATATTAAACATAAAGGAAAACAATCTCCATGCAGATGAGACAAAAAAAAAGCCAACACAAGGCTTCAATACAAGCTAATAGAAATAAAGGAAATGTATCTACAATTAAATATTACTTCATGGATGTTTTCAGAGGAAACAGGATAAATCATGGGAAAGAAGCTGTGATGACAGAAAATTACCAAACTGGAAGCAGAACTAAAAGCACAGTGTACTCAGGACAGGGAGAGGTATCAAATAAAGTCCATTCCACAACCTGACAAGAAAGGGAACATGAAATCCCAAAGCTGGTAGGAAGCAGCTCAGACATGATACTGGCTGACTGGGGAAGAGCAAATGTATTATCCATTTATAAAAAGGAGACCTATGCAGCTGCAAACCCATTAGTTTGACCTCAGTTGCTTCAGAAGAAATTTTGAAGGAAAAAAATAATTGAAGACAGGGAGACAAATGGAAAATGGGATAAGACACAAAAAGGATTTACTAAAGATAGAATGTACAGAGTGAATTTGTTATCGCTCTTTAATAAGATAACCGATTTTCTAAACAAAAGATTTGTGATACATCTTATCTATATCTGTGCTGCATATGATACAGCATTACATAGGAAATGGGGATTAGGAGAAGAGTTGTAAAGTGGATAAGAGATTGTCTAATGGATAGATGGCAACAGGTGGCATAGAAAGAGGCAGCATCAAACTGCTGGAAATTTGCTAGCAGGAATTCTCAAAAGCCAGTCTTTCAATCAATCTTTTTTTAACATTCGGGCATGACGAGAACAGGTATGAAATCTATTGTTTCCATGAAGCCAGGAAAAAAAGTCCTTGAAAAAGAGAATGAGTGGGGTTTTTTAATTACATAAAATATAAGGACCTGAATATTTTATACACACACACACACATGAAATATGGTACTCTATTTTTCTGTAATTATAAGAAAAGGATATTTGTGCCATGTAAAGACTTGAGAGTGTGGCCTTATCTGAAATTCCATACATGGTCTTTGTTACTTGGAGTCAAGACAACATGCAAAAACTGGGATAAGTGCAAGAAGGTGCAACTGCAATGGCAGGCAGACTGGAGTTCCACCATTCATGGGGGAGAATAAAGCACTTTGCTGCTTTTGTCTGACTGAGCAAAAAACTGAACCAGGATATGACTGGTGTCTGTAAAT